ATGTAAATAATTCCAACGGCACTTTTTATTTATATCAATTGATTTAACAATGTTCCAAGTACATCTGGAAATTTTTTCAAGCTAATCTCACCCGTCAATTTAAAATGGTGGACGATCAAAGTATGTGTAGGGTCAGATTGACCCAGTGTTCTTTTGGAAAAGAGTAATTTACGAAAAAAATGTATTTTTATTTTTAATATTTCTGGCTAAAAATTTTTCTGGCAAAAAAAAAGGGTCAAATTGACCCTGTGTATTCTCCGAGGATTAAGTGATTAAAAGTCATAAGTATATAATACATGTATCTCTCGTACATCTATATCTATTTATAAATAAGCCTTGGCCAAAATTATTAGGCACCCTACTAAAATGAAGTTTTTGAAAATAACATTTATTTTTGAAAGAAATAAAAAATAAACATAAATGCGTTCGTAATAATAATGAACACTCTAGTAAACAACTTTTAAACAATAGAAGCCTTTCCTGATATTATTGTAGATTCAGTACAGCATAATGATGATTACGAGGGTGCCTAATAATTTTGGCCAAGGCTGTCATTCATCACAATAGCAATTACATTTCTCGTGTTTGCTGCATCTAATTGCGTGAATTGGATTTCTCGTGTGCATCAGATTCCTGTAAATAATTAAAGGAGTTAGACAGTTAAAAATAAAAAAAAATATGAAAATATGTCGTACCTCAGATGCGGTTCTCGGAACTAATCCTAAACTATCGAGCATACCAGATGGTGCCGATTCTTCAACGGGATGTGCCGACAATCTTTTACATTTTATCAAGTGTTTCGCTGCAATATGATGTCAATTAAAATTAAGTTTTATGCTTACAATACTGAATGTTACAGCCTTTACAACTATGATACCTAATCGGTTGCCATCGTTCGACGTGTAACCACATGAGCATTGTAGTTTCTTGTCTAACGGGATGTTAACTAAAGGAGATGGCACGATCAGACTGGTCTTCGGTCGTTCATTATGAATTTGTTGTTGATGTTCTTGGAATGCGCGCCAACAGCACGTGACGTAACGGCACTGTTGACAACGCTGCTCGCCTCTGTGCGTTAAACAATTTTTTATTTACGTTATTAATTGCAAGATTATTGGTTATTATTTTAAAATAGTATACTTACGGATAATGTTCATCTTCGTCAATATCTTCCTCACACTCCTGGCAGGATAAATATCTGGTGGAAGTGTTCACCATAACTGGTCCGGTACTCCACTTTTGTATTTTTTCATCTGGTGGTAATTCGGGTTGTGGACTATCCACAGAAAATCGTATTATCTCCGGTATGTTTTTGGAGACCATTATGCCACTATTGCCGGCAGAATAAGGTACTGCTTCTATATATTTATTTTCTGATTAGATAATAGAAATTGCAATCTCTTTTCACATAATATATACAAACGTATATTCAGAATACATTAAAAAAGAATAAATAATACAACTGATATGAAATAGATATGTAAGTTGAATTTCGATTAATTTTTTAACATGTTCTTGTTAATTAATTCGTTAGTAATAAAGATAGTGTATAAGAGAAAGAATTGTATTTTGTTTTTAATATCCTATGAGCTTCTAACATCAGTGAATATACGTAAGGATGAATTTTTATATCTTTTTATATATACAGCTTAAATATTTAACTATACGTTTAAATGTATATTTACTTGGATTAGAAACACAGTCGTGTAACTCCCGCTGATGTAATGTTAGAGAACTCTTTTTATTGAACCAGAGACAGCATCTTGAACACTTGTTGCCTTTTCCTTGATCTCTTCTTACGATGTGCCTTTGCATGTGCGACAAATAAGCGTAAACGTTGGACGCGTTCGGGGTGCCCTCGTTCACAAATTGTATTACCTTTTCACAATAGTAAAGTTACATTAATCAACATTGACATAGGAATGAGAAGTACACATTCGTGGTATTTTTCCTTTCTTACTTTAAGGCAATACGGGCATTGCAATCCTTCGCCCTTTTCATGGATTTTATAATAATGATCTATGACGTCCTTATGACTGGATGTACGATAGCCGCAACTTTCGCATTTATACGGCATTTCGGAAGGATAATGCATCAACGACAAATGATCAATCAAGGATTTGCTTTTTCCTGAATGAGAAACATGTGCAAATGTGATCACCTCGCATTATATATATATATATATATATATATATATATATATATATATATATATCTTATTTGTTTTCTTAATTACGGATTATAAGTTGATTTGAAAATGTTAGCTTACCAAATTTCTCCTCGCAAATTGCGCAAACTACCATGACATTATCACAATGACCAAAATTGCTGTGTGTTTCCGACACATGAGTAAGCATTTGATGTTGCGACGAAAGCGGGGTGCAACAGTATCGGCATACCGACAATTCCGATTGACCTGGCAATTGCGGTGGTACGTGACTAACCATATGTTCCATCACTTCGGTATTAGATCTCATTACTGTCGTACAGAGGAAGCACTAAGCCGAAAAAAATATATTTATCAGACATAACGAAACATGCTAATGGAGCTAATGGTATAACAGTATAAAAACTTTGAATAAACCTTGAAATATAAGGAAGCCCTGGTTTCCTTAGATATCAGATTCTTATCACCTTCCATTGTGGCATAATATAATTCTTGGAGTTGAATTTGCTCTTTCGAGTCTTTCTCGCTTTTATCTTCTTTTTCTTTATTGAGCTTAGAATCAACGGCTACCCTTTTTACTTCGGGTTCTGGAGTTGTCACGGTATGAATTCGGGATTTCCTTCCTCGGCGCACGCCTTGTCTTGCCGTAGCAGCCTCAAAAGTTTTCTGGGATGATGCTACGTCAGTTACCGGAGTTGAATCTTTTGATGTAACTGGCGTATTAGTTAGATTGGAATAAGACCATTTTTGAAATGGATTAGCAGCTACCTTCGATAGGCGATCTAGCAAAGAATCATCTGAAAAAATATACAATCTTTTTACCCAATAATATAGGGCTTTGAATACGCGTACAATCAGAAATTGTTACATTTTTATCAGTTATGCGATCAGTAAAATTTCTCACTTACTGAAATCGAGTTTAGTTTGCTCCGCGATATGTCGTATAATATTGTCGAACGCACGTTCCGCTGTAGCGCCATACATCTCTCTCCATATTAATTCGTCTAAGAACTGTTGTATCATTTGTCTACTAAGTAAACTTAATGTGTTCTGAAACATTCTTGGCACGATTTTTCTAAGATATTCCATGATATGGTAATTGCTCATGAAATTTTTAGGGTTCTGTTCTGAAAATGCAGATTGCACAACGTGGTTATAGCCCATATCCTGCAACGTGCTCTTGTCGACAGTGAAGTCGGTCATTATTTTCGAGTCTGTATGGACCCACTCTTTCAAAGGGTGTAGAATATTATTAAAGCGTCTTTTAAATGATCTATCCTCATCCTGCATTGGTTCACAGGCACGTAAGCGTATGTCCAATGTACTCGGATCTAAAACGCCAAGAACTTCGACTTTCACCTAAATGCGAGAGCCGAATTCGTCATTATATAAACTTCATTTCTAATGAAACGAGAATATCATCAAGATGTTTCACCTGTCGCAAATGTCCATCTTGCGATGTCGTGCCTAAACTAATCACACCGACTTGTATCACTGAATTTTTACCGCCCATCTTACGACTCTTATCCCATACTGCCGCTGTGCAAATGCTACGTAGATTTGTATAAAAGTTTTTTAGGTATATATTGGATACTTTCACCCAGGAGATTACGTTCTGCACGTTAGTTTGACACGCCCAATGATAAATCAATTTTAACAAGACTGTGGGTGTGTAATGAGCTCCCTGGAAAATAGAACCGGAAAAGACGGAGACGAATCTATCGGGACAGCAACTGGATATCCAAACGTAACCACCAGAATAGGGAAACGTTCCCTGATCGCTGTACATTCCTAACTTGAGTTTAGGTTTCTGAAAGTTCGAACTGTGCTGCAAACAGTATTGTTCCGATTTTACTAAGCCCTGTTGTATCAACCATTCGGCGAATTTTGTGGCAGAAAACATGAGCACGTTCTTAACTTTAGCATCTGAAAAATTTCGATTATTAATATATATACATTTAACACTACATCGTTGCATGTTGGTAGTAAAAAAAAATATACCTAATGCTTGTCTTTCTTTTTGTGCAACTGACGATGGAATGTCTTTATTACGTAAATTTGGTCTTGCTACCACCACTAAGGAGGGGAAAGTTCGGCCACCAGTCGTTTTGTTAAACGTGAATTCTCTGCTATCAGGCTGGTTCTTTTTGGATTCGTCAATCTGTTCGTTGGCTATAAAAAATTTCGTAATGAGTAAAATCAGATATTAACATTTCTAAAAATAATATTACATTGTTTCCAGTTTTCACCTGTATTTTTGCCGATGGATATTCCACCTATACTAGTATGTTCTGTAGGTTTGACACTTGATTGATTTGTCTGTTTAGTGACAGTCTTTATTCTGACACTTGTCACACCTTGAGAAGTAGCTGCATGGCCTATATTAATTTCATCAGTTAAGATTTTCTTATCTCTCTTTTCTTTCTTTCTATGGAAAATATTAATTTAAAAAATATGCTTACCCTTACTAGATGTAACCTGTGTTGCTGTAGGCTTTTGTTTTATGCGAGTGACTGTGGATGTAGGTGCGGGTGCGGGTGCAGGCTGTAAAAATCAAGTATTGTATTATAGTTACAGCGCAGTTTTGTAACTTATACTTGTAAAAATCATACCTCTTCTATAATATCAGGTTGTTGTACTTGAAGAACTTTTGTTCTACGCCCAGATCTGGTGTACTTATACTGAAAAAATATTAATGTGTAATTAATGTTAAAAATCTACTTTCAATAAAGGAAGTACAAATGGAATTGATAATACATTCTCTTGTTGAGGCTGTGCCACGGTTGAAGCTGCAGATGTGGTTGTAGTAGCTGTGCCTGAAATCATGTTTAAGTAGTCTTCGACAAACCACGGGCTATAATTAAGTAATAAGTTGCTTGCTACCTTGGGTTTGTGTAACAGATCCCAAAATAACTCCCATACGGTGATCAACTACTAGCTGGATATTTCCTTGAGGTCCACTTGTGTTACCAATATTCAATTTAATTGGTGCTGAATTCTTGTTTTGTTGGGCCTAAAAAGTAAACAAGAAAAGTATTGCTTCTATACGAAAAAAATAATGTCATCTTCTATTACTTTCCATTGTAATAAAGTTTATACTAAAATACTTACAACATTTAAAATTTGAGGGTTGTTCTGAACTACTGCTGGAGCAGGTGTTGGCGTTGCAGGTCTGCAAACATTAAATAACTATGTAGTTAACATTTGATGTTACATCTATAATTATTCCATAATTCGATACTTACAATGTATTAAACTGATAACCACTGACACTTCCCACTTGGCATACTAATTTACCGTCATCTTTAAGCATTTCTTGTAACATAACTGCAACCTGGTAGCAAATAGATTAATGTACAATACATATTTATGTTATTAGGAAAAAATGATTGGGCAGATGAATTTACTCTATTGGAATCGTCCTTGAGCTTCGTTCTTAGCTTCTGCTGAGCTTCGTTCAGAGGCTCTTCTGAGCATTCTAAATTCAACGTCATGTTGGCTGGACGAACATTTATGACAGAGCGCGAGTACATCCGTACTCTTGGCATTTTGTCCATAGATGTTTGCGTGAAAAATCATCAGCACGTGGTGTGCGATTGAATCAAAACCGACTTGTTAAAGTCGCGTCTCACAAACGATAAATCTAACTGGAAAGTGAAAAAGTAAGAATAAGACAAAGACAATAAGGACTCCCTAAGTGGAGATTTATCCAAATTGCTTCGTCAATTATCGGTAGTTTTGCGTATACACGGATTGAATGTCGTCACTATCGGCTCATTAATGTCGCTACTATCTGTTCCAAAAAGAACATTCGGCCGATCGGCGCTCTGAGTGGGACTGGGAAGGGACCCGTACCGATGCCCGATGGCTATATATCTCTGGCTACTGGCCTTACCTATCGTTGCATCCGCTTGCAGGCAGAAATGTCGATGTTTGATACATCAACAGAAATTCGCCGACTCGCAGAACAATCAAACAATACGTAACCTAATCGCCTAACCGCGCCGGAGTACCAAGCGGCAAAACTTCGACAGCTTCGACCCCTGGATATTCGACACTCAACAATACGATTCTCGCGCCTCGCGCGGCGACGGCCGGCAACATTTGCGCCGACTCGGTCGGATGCCATTACATCATGAACGATCGGTCACATCACGCTCTACAGTTATCTCCGAGTTTATGGAAGCAATTTATATTTATACAGGAGTAACA